AACATCAATGAATGTATATGGCTGAGGTATCTTAAAAAATTTTGTGGTCATTGATGGCGACTCAACTGATCGGTTTACACCTCTACACTCTCATCATTCACCAATCTTAGGATACTTCATAAAACTTAAAACCGGAAGTCTCCGATATTTTTTCTTCGTATAAATGAAATATGCATAAATTACATTTTATTATTTTTATTTTAGATTTACAAACAATTAATATAACATTACGTATTCTTTATCGACCAAGAGCTGAACTTTTACCAAAACTTTTTTGCAAATTTGGGTTTAGATTATGAAGAACGTGTTTTATCATCGATTATTAATGAAGTTTTAAAATCTGTTGTACTAAGTCTCAATTTGATCCTATTGAATTGATTACACAACGCACACTTATTTCGCAACGTAATAATGAATTATTAACAGAACGTGCTGCTCAATTTGGTTTATTACTTGATGATATTTCAATTATAAAATACGATAAAAAAGAGTCTCGAGTTGATTACATTGTTTTTTTTCTTTAAATTAGACACATTTAAGTTTTAGACCTGAATTCACAAGTGCTGTTGAATTAAAACAAGGTGCACAACAAGATGTTGGAAAACAACGGTTTTTAGTTGAAAAAGTAAATCGATAAGAATAAAATTTATATGAGTTTGTTTTTTTTTATCAAGAAAAACAGACTGAGCAAAGTCGTCAAGCAAATGTTATTGCAGTAGAAGGTGATGCTGATACAGCTTATTTGATTGGCAAAGTTTTAGATGAAGCTGGTGATGGTAAATTTTCGAATATCTTTTATTATCCTGTCTAACTTTGTTTTAATATTCATGTTAGATTTAATCGAACTTCGACGAATTGAAGCCACTGAAGATATTGCAAATCAATTATCAAAATCAAGAAATAGCGTCTATTTACCACATGGTCCTCAAATATGACTTAACATTACTGGTGCTATGCAATAAAAATATTGTTCTTTGTTTTCATAGTAAACTAACGAGATTGATTTAGGAAAATAAAAAGGACATATAAGAGTTTTTTTTGTATATATGTGTGTGTTTATAAACTATTGAGAATACT